AGATGATGTGGTCGATCTCATTATGGAATCTCCCATGTCCAGCGTAGAGAGTAGGGCTTCTGGAACTGCGAGTTACCATGGATGGTATGGGTCGACATGATAAACTCAGACAGCCTTTCACCCTGCTCATTCCACTCCGTTCCGTGAGTTCCGATGTGAAGTTCTTCAGCCGTTCTTCTTGGTCCGATCTTAGCGTTGAAATCACCTTGTAGAACTTTTCCAGTTCCACATGAAACGCTCCGAGCTCGTCCTTGTCGTTCGAATTTACTCGTTTTCTACCAACTGCTGTCGCATATCCGCTTCAACAACTGGCAGAAAGCGGGTTTGGCGCCATGGCGCACTCATACTGCCTGCCACGCCCCTTCATCCGCAGCGAACTAGAGTCTAGCTTTGCAAATGCGGGTAAAAGTAGTACTTCCACATTCCGCATGCATAGGCTGGGAGACAATCCAAAGTGCCGGATACAGGACCGCAGTGAAGTATAGGCAGTGTTGCGAATGCGTTGACATAAGAGATGTAAACTTCCTCGCTGCGGATGCTGGGCGTCAGAGGGTTGGGCCGCCCCCCCCCCCATCCCCAGAGCGCCCCAACATTCGCAGCAAACAGACTGCAATCACTCACCTGTGACTGGAGCGTTGATGCTCTGCGTTTTGGCAGAATCGGAGACTAGGACTTCGGATTGATACAGAGCCTCTCCGAGATCTTCGAGTCTCCAGTTCTGCTGTCGTGATTTTTAGGCTATTGCCGTTTACATCAAACTCTAGATCCCTAAATTTGAGCGACTGACCTCGCTCACATTACAGAACTGAAAACGAGGTTGTTTCAGGAAAGGAAGGACCACTCGTGAGAAGAAGAGTGCGTTGCGAATAGTGAGGGCTTTCTTCTGAAATTCACCGCACTTCATGTCTCGGAGGAAGAGGGGGCGTGTCCACGCACATGGTTACGAGTGCTGAGTTTGGCTTGGCGTCAGCTCGTTTTTCACCAATTATTGTCCCCTTGCTCGCTTTAATGACTGTTGGAGAACGGGTGGGGGCCACGTCAGACCGGCTCCCCTGGCACGCATAGGCATCCGCAACAAACAAGACAGTAGCAGAGCTACGCTCGCAGCCAACTCGTGACCACGCCCCTTCTATTTACTGGATATGGACTGTACGTAGCGCTTTCAGGAAGGATGTGTCTACGTTCTTTACGGTGCGGTCGGCTTGTATGCATTTATGGCATTTTGGACATTCCTGCTCTATGCTCATTCGGTTGAAATAATGAATATGGTGCCGGCATTAAGAGGCCACGCTTTCGTTTCTCGTTCCATCCGAACTCGAATCGTTATCGGACGAATAACTGTGTCTGAAAGTTTGTGCATTTGTACGAAAAGTCTCTCTGAACAGTAATGAATCATTATTCCTGTTTTCTAAATAAATTGTATCGTTATGGGTGTTCTGTTCGAAACCTACTTTATCAGGTCCTTCTATGGTGCTCATACGGGAGGGGGTTGAGCTGGCTGGCATTTCGAAGTGAAAGCTGCCTCCGCACAGGCAGAATATTCAAAGGGGCAGTTGAATGCATCAAGTACGACAAACCAGTAGTAAATCTATTAGTAGAAAAGGATGACAAAGCGAAGGATAACGGTCATGAGGTTGCGAACTTGCCTTTGTTCTGCACTACCATGGACGAGTATACGGCTGGCAGAAAGCAACTAGGTGGGTTCCCTGCTGGCATCGTGCCAGCAACCGCCTTCGCTTTGTCATCCTTTTCTACTAATAGATTTACTACTGGTTTGTCGTACTTGATGCATTCAACTGCCCCTTTGAATGTTCTACCTGTGCGGAGGCAGCTTTCACTTCGAAATACCAGCCAGGTCAACCCCCTCCTGTATGAGCACCATAGAAGGACCTGATAAAGTAGGTTTCAAACAGAAC